TAGAAGTGGCTGTTATGGTCCCAGAGATAGAGCTTCTCATAGATGTTGATGAAGAAGCAGTTTAAGAAGGAAGCTGGTGCCACTGTTCTTACAGCACTCCACCTGATTAGTATGTGAGTGGTTTTGTTACATCTGCCTAAATGTGTGTATTTGCTGTTTGATATAATAATGGGAAATTGTGTGTGGCAAAACAAAAGAAGGTACAATGTGCTAGTACATCACTTACATATTCAATAGGCCTGTGTTTTGAAATTTATTATCATTTATGTGTAATTTCCTGAGAGTAAGGTGCACAAAACGAACAGCTTGGTGGTTTAGGAATTTGACTGTGGAGCCAAAGGTTGGAGGCTCAGTTCTCCACTGTGCTTCCTTGCCAGGGGCTAGACTCAATGACCCATAGGGTCCCTTCCAGCTCTGCAGTGCTAAGATTATAATGCTTTATGCATAGCTGTGTAAAGCTATGCCAAAGTGTGTTAATAAAGAATGTTGCTTTAGGGAAACAAGCTGTGTTTAACGCCCTTGATCCTTTCTACTGCATGTGCATGAATATTTCAAAACTAATTTAAGGAAAGGTAGTCATCTTGGTTTCAGTTCCATTGATGTCACGGCTGCTTTTTTTCTGCTCGAGTCAACCAGTTCTGCATTTCATTTGGACAGAAAAATGTTATTTTGTGCAAAACATACTTCAGTCAATCATATTTTGTTGATGTTTTTTTTCTGTTCAGTGGCTTAAATGTACTGTATAAAACTGCTGAACATTTGGCCAAATGCTATAATGTACATACTAATTGGGATTAATTACCCCCTGCAGCAGGACAGGAGAGCCATGGAATAATCCCTGCCTACTACAGCAGAATGACTGTCTATACTAGGTTATATGATCACATTGACAAGTTGAACTTGAGGTGGTTGTATGGTAAGACTGGAAAAGACAAAGGGAGTCTCAATCCTGGGTGTGCCTCTTCTAAGGATGAACAAAAGATTCAAGAACTTGTTTGCTAGAGCAGTCATTCTCAATGTGGTTCCCTGGGACCCCCCAGGCACATTTGAGGTGCCACAGACAGGAAACAGTTCCACACACAATTCCTTATAGAATTTGTTGTGCCATGTATACAGCTTTGATTTCGGCCTATATTTCTTTCATAAAGTGTTTATGGCTGTGGCCGGAGAAAAAGATTAAGAATAGCTTTCCTAGAGTGAATAGATTGTTAACAGCATCATTCAGGTTACTCCTGTTGAAGTAGTCTTTTGAGGTTCTGGGCAAATGTGTGGAAAAAATACCTCAGGAATGTGATGTGTTTATCTTACAAATGATCTAATTGAGTTGCAGCTTGCTTTTACTGGCCACCATGTTTTTGGTGCAAAATAACTGCATCACTTCATTTTGGATTTAAGCTTGTTTTATATTTCATCTTTATATTGTGTTTTGAGTGGAAAATATTGGTTAGAATCCTATTGGTCTTTATGTAACTTGTGACTAATTGTGACTGTCTGGTGAGGTGCTGGAGTATATCTTGGTCACATGCCTGATGAAGTACCCAGTTGCCTAACTGATATTTGCCACTGCACAATCTAGCTTCAGGAATTAGCTGTGGCAACTCTTTAGGCAAAGACAAGTACATTTCCAGCTATTTACCTAAAATTTCCCAGCCTAATAATCTGTGGCTTTAACAACGTCCTGCTTATAATAAACATTTTAATAATCAAACCATTCCTGGTTGCTTCCCCCCCATTAAAGTTCATGATTATGTCTATGTCAGGGTTGTTAGAAGCTGATTCACAAAGTATATGTGATGTTAAAAGATTAAAACTGTGAAGGTAAATGAGTTGATATGCAATACTGTATACTGTTCAGATAAATAGCCAATGGGTTTTAAAATGCATCTGCTGTTGAACCAGGGTGGATATAAATCAATGATTGTTTAAAATCAAATTGATTTAAAATTTAAAAATCAGTTTTTTAAATTTAAGTCATCAAAGAAATTTCATTTTTTTTTAAAATTGTGATTTAAATTAATCTGATTTGAATCAAACCCACCCTGTAATTGAACCCATGTGTATTATATTATTAGCCATTGAGTTTTCTGTTCCTGAAATGTGAATTATCTCGCATGGAGTTCAGTTTTCTCTGGGTCTTTGCGAATTAGCTGGTCACACAAGGAAAGGAGAAAAAATTGTCTGAACAGCCTGTTAATTTGACTTTTCTGTAGCCCAGCAGGGGGCACAGCAGCAAAAGATCTTAAGTTGTTAAACAAGGAGAGTGCCAATTTTTTCATTTGTTTTCCTTTCCTGTTCTGAAATTCCTCCCCAAGTTCTGTTTCTGCAAAAAGGGGGGGAGGCAAATAGTGGTAGAAGCTGATTGTGTGCCTCTTGAGATCTGTCTGCCAAGCTGTGGGTGAGTGACAGTGAATGCCACGCTTACCTGGGAGTAAGTGGCATTGACTGTAATGGGCTTTACTTCTGAGTAAAACCTAGATCAATTCCAAAATGGAGGTATTGGTTCAAGCAGTCACACTGCCTGAACTGATGCAGATTGATGCATTATTAAAAAATAGAAGCCTGAAGAGGCAAAAATTGCAGATTGCAGAAGAACTCTGGGCTGATTTACAGTTCCTTTCACATCATGTGATTAATGAAAAATGTGCTAATGCAAACATTAAAGTAAAATAGATACAGTAAAACAAGATGGTTATTCTAAAATACACTTGGGACAGAATTAACCTAACCACATTAAATAAATATAGACACTACAGAAATATAAAGACTTCTTACTAACTACAGGCCCGAAACTGAAGAATTTTGAATTTGCCCCATAGTATTTGAGAAGATTATCTAATATTGTTTAATATTTCTAATACACTCACAGCATATAAAGGTAAATAAGAGGTGGAACAATACAAACTATATTTTTTATTTTTGTTTTGAACTGCCTTCAGAGCCATGATACAACGTTCTTGACATGTTTAAACATGCTATTCCTGTGCAAAGAAGCAGCTGCTCATACTAAGGACTAAATGCTTTATATATATCATATGTTAGATGTATTTCTTGAATAGCCAAATACAACATCTCAGTATTAAGACCCTTTAAAGCAGAGGTTGTCAACCCCCGGTCTGCGGCCTGGTGCCGATCCGTGGCCTGAGCTGGACCAGGCCACGGAGACAGACCTCCCCCCCGCATGCACTCCCTTCCCCACAGCTGCTTTGCGCATGCATGTGTGTGCCAGTGCCAGCGTGGATGCTCTCCCATGCTTTCACACATGCGCCTGAGCGAAGGGGTGGGCGAGTGGGCATGCAGGTGCTCCTGCGCATGTGCAAAGGGGTGGGGGAGTGCTCACATCAGCGTTGGCATGCTCCCCTACCGCTTTGTGCATGCTCCCAAGAAAGCACGCGCAGAGGGGGTGCCCCGCCTTCCTCAGAGGCTTAGCCGGTCCTCGGTCTCAAAAAGGTTGGGGACCGCTGCTTTAAATGAATCTTTTCACTTTACTGTGCTCTGTTTCAGGACATTTACTTCCAATGGCTTGTTTTTAAAGAAGCTTGTGCAGAATGGGGAACTTCTAATGGCATGCTGTGCCTGTGTTGCTTACTCTGTAAAATTGCTTGTAATAACTTTAAATACTTGTCTTTCTTTCTTTCTTTCTTTCTTTCTTTCTTTCTTTCTTTCTTTCTTTCTACCTACCTACCTACCTACCTACCTACCTACCTACCTACCTACCTACCTACCTACCTACCTACCTACCTACCTACCTACCTACCTACCTAGGTATGTTTTGGGCATTCTGGCTTGAGAGAAAATACTATACTAACCCTATACTATACTATACAAGCCAAACATGTGTATTTTTTAGACATTTCTTGCCAGTTTTGTTATAAAACAAGGATTCAACCATTAAATTAAGCAAATGGGGGATTGGAGAAGCTACCACGTTTCCTACCTTACATTGTTTACTGCTGAGGACTTTTCTCCTGATCATGACACTTTCAGTATTGGAGTGGAGCTAGAGTGGGATGGAGGGACAAAAAAAAAGGAGTGCCAGAGGAAGGTATTAGTTTATTTCTGTTTCTGCTTCCTTCACTTTGAGACAACAGTTCATCATTATGCAATAAAATCAAATGTCACTGGTAAGACTCATTCAGCTAGAGCTGGATTGGAATATACTAATTTTAAAAAATGGAAAGTGGTTGAATTATCCATAGTTTGCTAATTCTGTAATTGTGAGAAGTTTTTTTTACCCGTATTGCAGGATCATTACAATAATGTTTTGGTCCATTTGGTCCGTATCTTGCTGCAATATGTGAAATGTCACTTTTCTGCCTACTGTGTTATAGCTATTGTATTGCTTTAAGGGAATGTTTAACACTCTGTAATAATCTTTGATAGCTTTTCCCACAAGAAGGCACAAACATAATATCTAAGTATTTGATTGGATTGTGTAACACAGGCAAAGGAGAAAAATATCTTGAAGATTGCAATTCCTCCTTTACTAGATGCAGTGTTGTCCTTGTATAAATCTAGTTTTTTCCCTACAGTTTTCTTTTTAGGTGGGTTTCTTTTTTGTAATATTGGGATTAATTAACATCTGTATAATTCTTTGGGACTTTGGCTGTTGTGTTGATTTCTACAGATGATTGTGTTCTGCAGTGTATTTTAACATTCTGCAAGATTCTTTTTATTTCTTGTATTTTGGTAAAAGTGATCCTGGTGTAATTTCTTTGTTAAATAGTACTACCAAAAAGTAATTCTCTGTGTGTGTGTGTGCGTGTTCTGTGTTTGAGTGTCTGAGTGTGTGTGTGTGTGTGTGTGTGTGTGTGTGTGTGTGAGAGAGAGAGAGAGAGATAGTGTTCTAAAATAAT